TTTTTCTTTCATCAATTGTGTAAGAATATTAGCGGTTTTTCCCTCTTTTTTTAAGTTTTAGACGCAGAAAACTCGCTCAAAATCTCGCTTAGAACCTTGAAAAATTGTTTTCTGTAGGTTTGACGACGTGCTCTTTCATTTGGACACGTCAAGAAAATTTTTTAGTGAAAATGGTTTTTCGGTTGAGAAACCAATATCTTTACAAAACAGGTCTTTAAATCGAAAGCGGGCAAAAACCATTGTGATATTCGTAATCAGCACGTTCGATTACCTATTGTCAACTGAGTTTCAGCTCGAAAGCGAGGAGACAGTTGGTGGCCTTCCCTCGTTAGCACAATCCCTGCGGGATTAAAATGTGAAATAGAAAAGAAGTTATCGAGATCGGAAGCGAGAACAACATGGTTTCGCACATGATGCTTGACTTTATTGCATCTGTAATGAATAGATGCTTCTGTTCTATTAACATTATGCCTCGTTAATCCAATATTTAGATTTCTTGTTTTCTATTTTACTCGTAGACACTAAGCTGAAGTCAGAGGAGAGAATAGAAGCAAAGAGTATCTCGATGTATGTCGTACATAGCATCTATACTACATGGAGAGAATTAGACTATAATGCATTCCAATTTCTATGCTTACTCTTTGATTTAATTTTCTAAATTTCTTAACAAATCTAATTCATTACTACCAACTGACTAATCATTTCATCTATTTTATTGACTAAATATTTTGGTCGTTTCTTCCTTAAAAAAAAACAAATCTTACATCATCTCGATGAATACGTGATAAATAATTGATAAATAAATTTGAACAATCATCTCCTATTGGTGTTTTACTTGTTGGTAATGATGGAACTTGATCATCTGTTGATATTGATGATGATGATGATGATGATGATGCTGAAAAATTATCAAGTGTTACACATAATAATTGAGCAGCAACTTCGACTAGAGGTTCACGTGTATCAGTAAATAAAAGATAATTATATGGTATATAACCAACAGGATCATAAGAAAATACTATATTTATTAATGATGTAAATAAAGGCAATGTTTGACTAGATAAGATGAAGCAAAAAAAAAAGATTTAATATAGAATTTCTTGTTTTATATAATAATTAATCTACCGATTACGACTGGATGTGAAATAAGTTAACCATTTGTTTGGTTGCGATTGTAGTTCAACTAGAAAATTTGCAAAAGAAAAAAAAAATAACTGAAATTATTAAACGCAAGATAGACTCCGTCGGATTTAACGTTTTTTCACTCGAACCGTACACTCTTAATTTGAACGAAATTTTGAAGTTAATGGCTATTACTTTTAGTATATAGTCCATTAATTCCGTCTCGAACTCGAGTCCGGTCAAAGTTCGAGACAAGCTCTAAATGAATCACTTTAATTATTGATTTATTAGATTTTGTAGAATTATTTCTAATGTTAAGAATTTTGAATCTTTTCAAAATATATTATTTACCCGATGGATTCATATAGATCGTTTCTGAAAAACAAGTAAGTAAAAGTTTGAGAATTTCTGTTCGATTTCTATCATTGCTTGGTGTATGTACAGGTGATTGAGAAAAACCAACACCAACTTCCCAAATATATTCACAACTATCAATCGTATTTATATCTTCCGGATTATCCTAAGACAAAAAAAGAATGTCAAAATAATTTTTTTTATTTAAAATTTACTTTACCGGTCCTTTTTTCTTCTTAGAAGAAACCGTAAAATCTGGACAAAATAAAAGATCCTTAAAAAATACAAAAAACAAAACTAATCATCCAAAAAAAATTTTTAATCATTGTTTTTTTTTTTTTAATATACTGCTAATATTCGAAGAAGTCGTTCAGCTAATGGTGGTTTACTAATATATTCCTATAGAATAAAAATAAACATATCCAAATTTTGTTTTTCTGTTATTTTCTTCTCACTCCATTTGATGCTGTTTGTTGTCCGATAGGAATATCCGACCAAAAAAAACCTCGCCATTCTGGTTCTTCAAATATATATGGTAATATACGAGTAAGTAATCGAATACAATTAATTGCTATAAAACATAAAGATTAATATTTTGAAAAAAATAAATTTTTTTCTAACCAGCTATTTGATCTCGTTGTGTTTGACATGAATTTTCTGCAGCTAATTGTAAACGATCAACAAGTTTATTACATAATGTTGCTAAATTCGATGGATATTCTTCTCGTAATGCTCGAATTTCAGTAGCTGGTACTAAAGTAAATATATCTTGAATATTAGAAATTTTATCCGACCAAAATTGATCCCAAAATGATTCATCCCTTGTTTCAAGTGGCTTTAAATAATACAAAAGATAAAAAATAAATATATATATTCTTTATCTTTGTTTAATATATTTTACTTGATTACGAGATATTAATTGACCAACAGCTAAACGAAAATCAACTTTGGAATCGGTAGTTCCCATTTTGTGATATTTAAGATATATTTTTTTAATTGCTGTAGACAAGGTGAAAGAAAATGGGTGCAAAAAGAAAAAATAACAGCTTTTTCATTGGTTGATTATGTTCATCAATCATACAAAAATGTCAACGGACTCTGATCACATCAATAATAATGTATATAATGTAAATTATTTATTTACTTCAATGATTTTTTTTTTCTCTTTCAGAGGTGGCGTACTGATTCTTTTTTTTTGTGCTCTATACACATATGGTTAATTCAATTAATTTTTTATTATGAGAATAAGAAAAACTAAACGAAAAAAAATAATTAACTAATAAATATATTCTTCTTCGAAGAAAAATTCTAGTGAAATATTTTGAAAAATTGTATTTTATATAGATATAAAATATTCATAAAATTTTTATTTACACAAGGTCAATATTAAAAGTAGAAAAAATTTTCTTTAAAATAAAACATTCAGCAATAATAAGATATGCAAACATAACATTCAATTGTTGATTAACCATTGATGAATATATTATTGTCTTATCGTACTGATATTATTCAAAAATTTTAATAAATTGAATTTATGTTCAGAAAATTTTTTTGAATACAAACAGGAATATTAGTGTTATTTTTGATCAATGTACTGAACATTGATTCGGACATACTAGGAGAAACAAGATTAAATGTTAATCTTTGAGAAATTTAAAATTTTAGAAGCACAATGGATTACTTAGGTCTAACCAAAAGTTCTAAGAACATTAAAGATTTTTATTTTATTTTATCAAATGTTGAGAATAGTTCTCATGATTATTTATATCAAGTTCAATCCTTTCGACACAATCTATTAAAAGTTTTTTTTTTGAACTCTTTTTCTAAAAAAAATTTTACCTACCTTGGAAACCACATGAGCTAAATATATTTATTTACTTTACATAGGTTAGTCATAAGTCATCTAATGCTAATTGGCTTATTGAAGATGAATTGACAAAGACTGTGGTTTATGAAGACAGATTTTAACCAAAACTTTGTTTAGTATATTTTTTAAATCAAATAATCTTGGATGTAGATAAAAGCAAGACTGTAGATAACAATTATAATTAGTTCATGTAATTTCCAAGGTAGGTAAAACTTTTTTAGAAAAAGAGATCAAAAAAACTTTTAGTAGATTGTATCGAAAGGATTAAACTTGATATAAATAACCATGACAACTATTCTCAACATTGGATAAAATAAAATTAAAATCTTTATATTAATCTTTAATGTTCTTAGAACTTTTGGTTAGATCTAACGAGGGAACCTTCCGAGGTGCTAAAAAGCCTCAGATGATATCGGTCCAAGTTGCAATTTGGCTGAGATATCAGCTTTTTACTAGAATTTTCCTATGGGACCCCATTTTCTCGATAAGATGAAAGTTTCGAGTTTTGAAGTGAAATTTTGTCCATATCAAGGTCTCAACTAGAGTGGCTTATCTACAAAGTTTCAAAGTTTTTAGACTAAGTATTACCGAGATATAATATTTTCAAAATATCTATGCGTAAAAGGATATCCGTAAAAAGCGTGTTCATGATAACAGGCTCATATCTCGGTAATGCTTAGTATAAAAACTTTGAAGCTTTGTAGATAAGTCACTCTAGTTGAGACCTTGATATGGACAAAATTTCACTTCAAAACTCGAAACTTTCATCTTATCGGGAAAATGGGGTCCTATAGGAAAATTCTAGTAAAAAGCTGATATCATCTTAGGTTTTTTCTAGTCTATATATTCCCTACTTATGGACAAAATTTAGGCTCAAAAGCTTTTTAGCACCTCGGAAGGTTCCCTCGTAAGTACTTCCACTTGAGCACATCGGGTTCAACATATCTGAATCTGGACTCAAACTGTACTTCAAATTTCAACAAAACTTTTTAGTCTAAAATTGCTCCGAATTCTGTTATTAACGCATCCTAAACATTTTAGTTAAAACACGTAACTTACCACACATCCCATTAGTTACGTCTTGCATTGACTATTGAGATATACATAGCTACCAAATAGAAAATCTTAACTGAACTTCATTCAATAGTTGTTTTTCTATGTTTATCACGAGACCTGATACTTTATAATGTTTTTCTTCAATGTAGTTCAATTATCCTTGAATTAAAAATATTCAATAGCATCATTTCGTATTGTTCTATTTATAATGAAGTCTATACGAGACTTTATTTTCAATAAAACGAAGAATCCTAAAGTTGGAACTCGTCCAATCCGAATTGGACAAACTTCGATAAGTTTTTCAATAATTGTAACTAATTAGTGACATTCTCGCTTTGCAGCTGAGTTATCGCGCATGAAGGTCTTTCATTAAACTGTAGATGATTAATAATACATGTTAATTGTGAATGCTAAAAATGTTACACTTCAACTACTATTGTAAAATCGACAAACAACTCATGCCATCTTTTCATTAAAAGTTCATTCATACTTCTAACAGAACCAATCACTTTTTTTCTCCCTTTTTTTAGTTTATCGTATGTAAAGTGTTCGATTATATTTGTCCTTGTATATTCAAAATAAAAGATCATGAATTTTATTTATGTATCTTTTTTTTTAATTCTTAATTTTCTCTCAGGTAAATTAAAATTATTTTTATTTATAATATTTTTTTTTATTTCAATTTAGTTACAAATGGACTTGAATGTTATGTATGTGAACAACAAGAAGGAAATGATGATAAATGTGTAAAAACTGTTCGTATGTGTCAACGATATGAAGATACATGTGCAACTTTAATTCTTTATACAACACCTCATGAATGGTAATGATTAATAAAATTAAATTAAAAAAAATAAAATGATTAACTTTTAGGACACCAACTCTTGAACGTCGTCATTATATATCAAAAGGTTGTGATACACGAGATTCATGTACTCGTCGTAAGTAGTTGTTAAATAAGTAAATATATATATATATATATTAATTATATTTTAAAAATTAGTTCTTTATGGTTTGGCAAGTGTTTGTACACGTAATTGGTATGAAGATTGGGCATGTGTTGAATGTTGTCAAGGAGATCGATGCAATAGATATGTTGTTGTATGTAGATTTTTGAAATTTTTTGGTTTATTATTTTGAAATCTTTTTCTTTTTTTTTAGCTTGGCTCAAATAATATACGTGCATCATTAATACTTCTTGTTTTGATGATTTTTAGTATATTTTTTATTCATTCTTCAGTTTTTTGAATCTCATTATGTTAATTATCGTTATTCTTAATCATTCCATATTTGTACTTTTGTGTCAAAAATTTTGTATGATATTTCTTTTGTGTATAATTTTAACATATTTGTACTCTTAAAAATGAAAAGCTTTTTTTTTTTTTACTCACGTAGATTAAATTGTATATTATAGAATTCCATGAGTTTTCGATTTTAGTCATCAAATATAACCAGATTTCAAACTTGAAATCTTTTAATGTTTGATGAAAATCTTCGCTAAATTTTTTCTAATAAAATATAAAAAATATGCAGAAATTAATAGTAGATTTGATGAGAATTTTACTAAAGATATCTCCGTCTTCTTTTGGACCATTTCTGATTCTCTGCAACAGTAAAATCGATCGGACTCGAATTTTTATCATAGTGAGATCAACGAAAAATCATGCGATTCATGTTTGAGGAAAAGAATTTTAGAAGTAGTCCAAAAGAACGAGGATATTTTTAAATGTTTCTGTTCTCTCTTGTCTTACTACTTCGAAAAGAATGGTGTTTGTTTATTCGGATTATCAACCGTATTGTTTGTTACATTCATAAATAAATTATGTTTTATATTTGAATGAATAAGTTTCAATAATTTTTGTTTTCACACAAAAAGAATCATAAAAGTCTGTACATGATAATAATAAGTTGAAAACATATTCAGTTGTTCACATTGAATTTATTTAGTTATAGAATTAATAAATAAATGGAATATAATCATCATCAAATAATACTGCTCTTAATTAGAGATCTATCAAATCTTTTTTTTTGTCTAGTCTCGATTGCATATTCTTGGCCAACAAGGCGCAATCTAATGGACCTATTTTGTTGGCCCGATAAGAGTATGAGATAAATCATTATTTGTTTATTGGTACTATGCCAAGACTTGGAAGCACTGCTCCAACCTAAGAGCAGATTCTCCATTCCTAGTCTCAATTTCGCTCTTGAAATCTACTAATTGTCTCTCATATTCTTTATAACTCTTTAAATATATGTAGGAATATGGAGTGTTGGTGTAAATACTGCCGATAAATCTCTGAAATAGGCTTCACAGGGCAATGATTACACTGACATCCACGTTCGCTGCAACATTGAGAAATCAGTTCTATCAAAATATGTCGGTTTTGTAGCGGTGTGTTCCAGTGACGTCGAGAGTCAGTAAATGGAAACTACATACTAACGAATTTCTACTGAACCAGTTTACAAAAATATAGGTACCGATTGAAATCTCGCCGAAAGTGGAACCATCTTACCAAATTCTTAATTATGATAACCTTTGCCAGTCAAACCAGCTCCACGAGAAATTTAATTCATCTCAATTGAAATTGTATCAAACGATTTTACTTATGAAATTAAGAAAGAAGTTTTACTGCTTGCATAACATTAGAAGAAATTTGTCTGTATGTAAAAGATTTTTCAGCATTTCTGTATCTATACAAAGTTTTTCAATTCTGTAGCTTTGTATTTGTTTTGTTCACCCTATGAATATCAAATATTTTTTTTTTAATGATTCATTTCATTTCCGTTAGAAAAACATGTAATAAGGTTCATTAACATAATGACATTATAAATGATTTTTGTATATATAGTGCATTTATGATATATAACATCGTATTTTTGATATAGATAAGTTTTTATTCTTGTCAAAAATGCAATGAAACGATTGTCCTATGAAGTTTTTCTGATTTGAATCGTTCACGTCGATATATAGCGCCATCTATATTATAAAATTGAATTAATCAATTATTTTATGTATTAAATTTTGAAATAACCTTATTGATATCTATCATTCTATTAATCATAATAAAATAATTTCAAATGAAGGTAATGTATTTAACTTCGATTGGTTAATATTTGTTAATTTTTTGTTGTTTATACGTTTTCGTTCTTTTCCCTTTCTATTTCTCTGTATGACAGATGCCAGTAATTCTTCATCTTCTTCTTTTTTTCCTTCTTCTCCTCCTTTGATTATTAATTTTATAGGATAGAAGCAAAAGAAAAAAGAATTAATAATAAATTACTTAATAAAATTTAATTGATTTTAGATAATGAGTTCTTCATCAATACGTCCATCTAATAATCGAACTCGTGTTAAACTTTATACATTAAATGAAGAACGACAATGGGATGATCGTGGTACTGGTTTTGTAACATGTCTATCTCCCATAGCACCTAATACAAGTTATTCAATTATTGTTAAATCAGAAATGGATGGTTCAATATTACTTGAATCAAAAATTCATGTTCATACAAATTATCAAAAACAACAAGTTAATATTAATTTAAGAAATTAATATAAAAAATAAGAATGATTTTTTTTGTTTTCTTTAGGAAACTTTAATTGTTTGGTCAGAAGGTGAAAAATATGACTTAGCATTAAGTTTTCAAGAAAAAGCCGGTTGTGATGATATATGGGAAAATATCTGTGATGTAAATATAATTTTTGTTTTTTTAAAATAATAAAAAAAATGTTAATATATATTATCTAGGTACAAGGAAAAGATTCGTCATCATATTTAGCGAATGCAAATAATTTAACAAATGATTCAGCTATTTATGAATCAGATGATGATTGTGGTGAATCAAATGAAAATTATTTATCATCAACAATAATTTTACCACCAGTTGAATTAACACAATTACATGATATATGTAATTTATTTACACCAGATAAAATTCGTGATGGAACACGACGTGATTTATTAGCACGTGCAATTGAAACAGGAAATTATATAAGAAAATTAGTTGATTTATTTCGTATATGTGAAAATTTAGAAAATATTGATTCATTACATCAATTATATGAAATAATACGTTCAATATTTTATTTAAATAAATCAACATTATTTGAAATATTATTTCATGATGAATTTATAATGGATATAATTGGTTGTTTAGAATATGAACCACAATTAACAATAAAAACAAAACGTAATCATAGAGAATTTTTAAATAAAAAAGCAACATTTAAAGAAGTTATACCAATTTGTAATCAAGAATTATTAGGAAAAATTCATCAAACATATAGAATACAATATATTCAAGATGCTATTTTACCAGCACCAAGTTTATTTGAAGAAAATTTATTATCAACAATGAATAGTTTTTTATTTTTTAATAAAGTTGAAATTGTTACACTACTTTATGTAAGAAAAAAAAATTATCTTTTTTTTTTTTTTACAAAAAAATTCAATTAACGATTCTTTTTTTGTTTTTAAAGGAAGATCCAAAATTTCTTAGTCAATTATTTATAACATTAAAAGATGATAATTTATTAGATGATAAACGAAAAGATCTTATGTTATTTCTTAAAGAATTTTGTGTTTTTTCTCAAACATTACAACAACAAAATCGTGATAATTTCTTTCAAGTATGTATTACTCAAATTTTATATTTCTTATTACAATCAAATAGAAATATTGTCTTATGATAAAAAAAAAAGATATAGAAGTTGATCTAATCATCACATATCGCATAAAGATTTATAATAATTACAACATATTATTTTCATTATTAGACACATTCTAACTGTAACAAAAAAAATCATTTTTGATTACAATATATTATTTGTTAAATTTACCTTGAATAGATTTCTTCTATCAGCTCATTATATGTCTATAATTAATAGAGAAAATAAAAAGATTATTTCATCTAAGTTTATATTAAGTCAACCAAATAAAAAAATGACCTCAGATATACGGAATATGTGCATAGTGAGTCATAATGACTTTTTTTTTTTATTACAACAAATACATTTCAATTCTATTTTATTTAATTTTTAACATGTCAATTAACGAACTGTAAAAATATTTTTGAATTTCTACTTTTCCTAATATTATTTCCATTTAAAGAGTTAATCTATACTAGTTTTGTATGTAAGATTTGTTTTAAGTGAAAGTAGACAATAAAAAAAAAAGATCGGAAGAGAACATCGCATGACGTTGTCATGTAAGTAGAACAAAAAAAAAGAAATATCTTGTTTTATAATTAAATTTAATTCATTCTTTGTTATAATGATATCTAATAGAGCGTAAATAATAATTCTTCATGTCAACATGAAACATAGAGAATTAATATTATTCTTCTAGATGATCTACAGATTTCATTTAAATATATTGTTTTATGTTAAATAAGAAATATTCAAGAGAACATATTGACTTTAGATATTTCTTTTTTTTTAAAAGTTGATTAATTTCGTTTTTTGAAACTTTTTTAGGCACTTGCTACTCATGGTATTCTAAATGTAATTCAAGTAATGCTTGTAAGTAATTGATATAATTTTCATGTAAATATATATATATATATATTGTATAATATAAATAGAGTCTTGATGATATAACAACAAAACAAGCTGCACTTGATGTATTTACTTCTATAGTTGAATGTAATCCATCAACAGTACGTGAATATATGTTACAAGAAACACAATCAACACAAGATGATGATGAATTACTTCTTAATTTAGTTATATCAGAAATACAAAGTGATCCAGATCCAGGTATTATGAATAGAAATAAAAATCTACATATATATAAGAAGCCGACAATTCGAAATTTCAGCAAAAAATTTTTTTTGTATTATGATTAGAAGAAAAAAAAAACCTAAGCATACTTTTTGAAAAATTGTTGAGAAACCGATATGTTTTTTTCGCGATAGGATAGCAAAAGCTGGTAACGCAATTCCTGCAGGGTTAAAATATGAAATTCGATATAACTGTTGTTGCTAATCACAGAAAGTTTGTTTATTCTATCTATTTTGGGATATATTTCTTCATCCATCCTTTTACTTAATCATACAGCAAGGAATTATGACACAATCCAGAGAAGAGGTTGGATCGATTCCAAAAACCGATCCTATCACTGATACAGTCTGTGATCATGCGATCTCTGATGCAGAGAGATGTATTTCTACGAGGTCTATCATGTTCAGTGAGGTTCCCATAGACACTCCTATAGTTCAACTACACATAAACGCCATGAACAGGAGTTTTTGTTCAAGATTTTGACTATTAGAATCTGCACAAAAATTTCTATCGAATAATATACTTAAAACTAATAGGCATGTTCCATGAAAAAACTATCTTAAGAACAGCTGGACGTATCGAGCTGTCTCCTGAATTCTGGGGATTTCTCGATGTGCTCTTTCTTTTGTCCAAAATGCTTGGAAAACGGTTTTCTAGAAAACCGTGGTTTTGCAACCAATAGTCATAAAAGTTTTTCTGTTTTAACAATCTGTAATGATAGAGTAACCAATTCTCTACAACTTTTTTTGGCCGAGTTACATCAATTTTAGTGAAAGGCAAAAGTAATTTTTTCTGCTATTTCTTCTAGGAATAAACGAAAAAATGGCTTTTGCTGTTCACTAAAATTGATGTAACTCTGCCAAAAATAGTCGTAGAGAGCTCGGAGACATCGTATTTTGTACAGAATTAGTTACTCTATCATTATAGACTGTTAAAACAAAAAGACTTTCGCCACCATTGGTTGCAAAACTACGGTTTTCTAGAAAACCTACTTCCTGACGTTTTGGACAAAAGTATCCGCTAGATTAAAGAAAGAGCACATTAAGAAACTTCTAAGATCCAGAAGACAGCTCGATATGTTCAGCCGTTCTTAAGATAGTCTATACCAACTTTCTCATGGAATACGCCTATTTTCATCGAATTTCGTTCGTAACAGTGAGGGAGTGTACGGGAACTCCCTTTCTCCTTTTTTAATCGTTCATATAATTTCGAAATGTCTTGTTTAAATGAGGGCTCTTCATTGTTAGTTAGTACTTTTATTAAATCCATAACTCGCACGAAATTTCAAATTGTCGGCGCCTTATAAACATATATATGTCGTATCGAAGTTAATTTTGAGTCATTTATCAATAAACAATTCACTTCATTGAATATATAATCAAAAATAAATATTCATTTATTTAAGAATATTCTTAAATAGATATTTATTTTTGATTATATATTCAACAGTAGGATATTCAATGAAGTGAATTGTTTATTGATAAATGACTTAAAATTAACTTCGTCGACCGATGTAACTTCGATACGACATATATATATATGTTTTGTTGTTTTAGAATTAAGTGGTGCACTTAATTTATTGAATTATCTTAAATTATTAATTGATCCAGAAAATATGATTGCTGTATCAATAATTGAAAAAACAGAATTTTTATCATTTTTTTATTTTCGTTCAATGTCTGTATTATTAGCACCACTTATGGCTAATACAATTGATCTTAAATTAGGACGTGATGATTTTCATATAGCTCAATTACAATATTTAATTCTTGATTTTTTAACATTTTGTATTGAACATCATACATATCATATAAGAAATTTTCTTCAAAAAAAAGATTTATTAAGACGTGTACTTATTTTATTAAAATCTAAACATCAATATTTACAACTTAGTAAATATATACTTACATTTTTTTTTTTTGTAATTTATTAATTAATTTTTTTTTTGTAATTTCTAGGTGCATTACGATTTTTGAGAAAAATTATTGGTTTAAAAGATGAACAGTATAATTTAATAATTGTTCGAAATAATTTATTTGCATCTATTGTTGATGCTTATAAAGCTAATAAACGACGTTATAATTTATTAAATTCAGCAATGATTGAATTATTTGAATTTATTCGACAAGTATAAAAAAATTTATTTCAATTAATAATTCTTTTGAATAAATTTTTTTTTTTTTTCTTTTTATTTTAGGAAAATATTAAAACATTAATTAATTATTTTGTTGAAAATTTCTATTCAGATTTTGAATCAATAAATTATGTTAAAACATTTCATGATTTAAAATTATGTTATAGTACTCAAAGAGATAAAAGAGAACGAATACTTAGTGATAGGTAAGATTTGAATTTTCTTTTTTCAATTAAATAAAAAATATTCTCTTACAAATGATAATTAATATGAAAATGAGTTCTATAGAAATTTTTAAAATTG